TGCCAAACCTGGAAGAGATACCTCATGACAGGACCCCCCACCTAAGGAGCACACTCCGGGTGCTGTTACCTCGGTTTCTGAGGGTACCTTTTGTGAAAAGCAGTGATTAACTTCTTTGCATGAATTTCAGAGGAATTCTCCCAGGTGTTATCTTCATCTCCATAACCCTTCCATCTAATAAGGTATTGTAAGTTACCTCTATGAAGTCTGGAGTCAAGAAGTCTCTCTATTTCATATTCCAATTCACCTTGAACTTCAATGGGGTCAGGCTTTGATAATTGTTCCCTATGGAAGGGATCTGGGAGAAAAGACTTGAGAAGGAAAACATGAAAAACAGGATGAAATTTAAGTGAAGGAGGAAGTTTCAATTTCACAGCATTTTCATTAATAATGGACTCAATTTGAAAAGGTCCAAGGAAAAGAGGACTAAGTTTCTTAGAAGAACGGTTAGTAGAAATATTTTTTGAAGATAGCCAAACAATGTCACCAATTTTATATTTAGGAGGCAGTCTCCTTTTAAGGTCATAATTCCGTTTATGTAAGATCATAGAACTTCAAGGTTTTTCTTTAATTGATTAAACAATGAGGACATTTCCATATTTTGAATAGAAACCATTGGATTCGAAGTTGTCTTGGGATCATCAGGAAACAATGAGGGATGGAATGCATAATTTGAAAAGAATGGAGTAATTTTGCTGCTTGAATGTATGGAATTATTATAGGCAAATTCAGCCATGGGTAACCAATTACTCCAATCATCTTGTAAATACGTACAGTAACAACGAAGGTATTGTTCCAGACATTGATTGACTTGTTCTGTTTGGCCATTTGTTTGCGGATGGTATGCTGAAGAAAGTTTACGTTGAATTTGAAGTGAAGAACACATTTCCTTCCAAAAACGTGAAGTAAATTGAGAACCTCTGTCTGAGATTATTTCTTCAGGGAATCCATGTAATTTGATTATATTGTCAATAAAATTTTTGGAAAGTTCAGAGGATGAGGTTAACTTTTTCAAAGGAATGAAATGTGACATTTTTGTGAAACGGTCTACTACAACAAGGATGGTGGTGTATTTCTGAGAATGAGGGAGTTCCACCATAAAATCCATGGAAATAGATTGCCAAGGTCTCCCAGGTACTGGTAATCCTGTCAATAATCCATAAGGAAGGTGACGTTTCGCTTTGGACCTTTGACAAACTGGACAAGACTTCACATAAGTTTCAATGGTTTTGTCTTGACGAGGCCACCAATATTGTCTAGTAGAGAGTTCAATTGTCTTTTTTTATCCCGGGATGTCCAGCAAGGGGAGAATCATTAATTAATTTTAAAAGGTTATGTTGGAGTTTTGGAGGAATATAAATTCTATTAATAAAAGATTCCATCTTTTTTGAACAATTTAGGAGTAGAAGGTAGTTCAAGTTCCTTGAGAGATAATTGTTTCAGTTCATCTAATATAGTAGTTGTAAGTCCAATTATTTTATTGTTTGATAACTTTGAGAAAGTTTTCTCTTTTGGAGAAGGATAAACAGGTTTCTGGAAAGAGCATCAGCTTTTTTGTTATTAAACACATCAGAAAAATCTGAATATTGTTCCGGTATTAGAGTTTCGTGACTTAATTGAAATATAGGAATTTCAGGGGGACAATTGTCCTTACACTACTCTGAGTCAAAGGTGAGAGAAAAGGGAGCCCAACGAATGAAGGGATTATGAATTTGTAACCAGTTGATTCCTAAGATGATTGGAAAAAGGGGGGATTTTATAATATCGAAAACAAGAAATTCTGAATGGTTATTCTTGATAGTGGTCAAAATAGGAATAGTTTCATTTTTTATGGGACCAGAGGGGATTCCAGATCCATCAATAACTCTGATGGAGACAAAAGATGCTTTTTTCAGACAAAGAATTTTATTTTATTGGCTTCAACAAACGAAGAATCTATGAATATCCCCGTAGCACCAGAATCAATAATGGCCTCAGTCTTGATTCTTTCTTTGTCCCACTGTAAAATTAGAGGTACAGCAAACTGATGAGAGCAGGAAGAGGGTAGTGTTTTTAAAATTGAGGTATTAATTTTAGGCTTACCTCCCTTAGAGCGTTTTAGTAGAGGGCATTCTTGTTAGAGGCACAGTACATACAAAGATTTAAGTCTCTCCTCCTTGTTTTTTCTTCCATAGACAAAGGTCCCCTAGTAAACCCAACTTCCATGGGTTCACTGGGTTCACTGGGTTGCAAGGGTTTGTTAGGCATTAGCAAAGATGGACTGGGTTTTTTCCAAAATGAATTAGAGAGAGCCTTTTCAGCTTTACGTTCTCTGATTCTTCTAACTATACTGATAGAGAGTTGAATTAATGTTTCAAACGTTGGGGGAAGAGTGGTTCTAGATAATTCATCTTTAACTGTTTCAGATAATCCTAAATGGAACTGATTACGTAGAGCTATATCATTCCATTGGGTTTCTGGAGCCCATCTTTTGAACTCAGCTATATAATCCTCCACAGGATGATTTCTTTGTTGTAATAATCTAATAGTAAGATCAGCAGTAGCTTGTTTATTAGGGCACTCATAAAGTAATGACATTGCCTCAATAAAATTATCTAAAGAATCCAAAATAGGATCTTCATTTTCCAGAAATGAATGTGCCCAGGACATAGGTTCACCCCTTAAGTAGGAAATTATTGAACAGACCTTAATCCTGTCTGAGGGGTAAGCCCTGGGTTTGAGAGTAAACAATAATTTGCATGAATTCAAAAATTCTCTATATTTGGAGCGATCTCCATAAAATTTTTCGGGATTGCAGAAAGCAGGGTCACTTGAAGAATGTGTAACTTTATTTTACATTTCTCTAATATAAGAAAGAAGTCTCTCATTAGCAATTTGCAAATCATGCATGCCTATTGTGAGTATTTCAACCCCGTGGGTTAAAGAGGTAATTTGGGAATTCACATCTGCTGGTTCCATTTTTAGGCTTGGTGATTCTGTTACGCTACTTGGGTTATTTGGATTGGAACTCAACTGCAGCTTGTAGAACTCCTTAATTACAATAGTAAAGGAACAAAGAATCTTTAAAGTATCAATACTGTAGCTTTAAGAAAAGAGAGGATTGCTGGCAATTTGAGAATCAAACGAAGTTTTAATGATTGATAAACTTAAATGAATTGCATATAGGCAATAATCCAATAGGAAGAAAGTGCAGGTTATCAAACAATACAAAGTTCATTAATAAGTATTTCCTCTGAGAAGTTTTTAATAAGATTCTTTAGGTTGCTGGGAATAATCTTCCGTAGAAACATTAAGCAGGTAGCAGAGAGTATTTGCAAAGCAAGAAACAGTTCATAGTAAATAAGCATGATGGGAGTTGTCCTCCATATAATTAGTAACATGAAGCAGAGAAGATTTGAGCAAGCAACAATTGGTTCATTAATAAATGATATTGCAGACACTAGTTAATGCATGGCATTAAGTGGCGAGGATTATATTATATTTTCTCCCGGCTCACTTTCGGCTCTAAGAGTAGCCCCAAGATATTTGACATTTTCGCGGAAATCTTGTGCTGGTTACTACTTAATGTGTGTAGATGCCCGACTATCATCCACTACTTAGATGACTTCCTCACAATTGAAGATATCTCTCAACCCGCTTGCCGTCTCACTAAAATGACATGTCTCCCAAAAAAAGATGGAAGGTCCTGACATGGTAATACATTTTCTGGGTATTCAACTAGACTCGATTAACATGCAGTCCTGTCTTCCTCATGATAAGATTGAGTGCACCCTTTCAAGCATTGACCTTTACTTGCAGTTAGGTTCTTGTAACAGCAAATAAATACAATCTCTGCTGGCTCATGACATGGAAAGGGAAAACCATGTTTATTCCACCAATTTCTGACAATTCTCCAACACTCTGGATAGACACTGAAGCCAATACGGGTTTTGCAGCTTTCTGTGGCAATCAATGGCTCTGGGGCCCATGGCCTAACGAAGTTAAGTTCCTACCTAGTTTCTCCACAAAATCGGCCATGTTCGAATTATACCCGATAGTGGCGCCAGCTATAGCCTGGGGTTCTGACTGGGCTGGTCACTTGGTTAGGTGTTTTTCAGATAACCTGGCTACTTGCCACATTGTAAATAAAGGCTGGTCTTCTTCTTTGGTAATTAGGATTTTGAGGAGACTTACGTGGGTGGCGGCCACTTGTCAGTTTTTCCTCACTTTTATTCATGTCCCGGGGCTCTATGTCCATATGCTATTGACAAGACTTGGCCTCAATGCAACTCATTACTCGGGCCACTCTTTTCGCATAGGGGCAGCATCATCTGCTTCCTCCAATCACATCCCAGCTCATATAAGCAAGACTATGGGATGCTGGAAATCACCCACTTACACACTATACATACCAGAACCGGATAAAGAGATACGTCAGGCATTTCGTGATTTGTTTAATTAATTGTAGTATGAATACATTTTGTATGGTACACTTGTTTTTTCCCTCTTTATTACATGCCTAATGCATTGTTGGTTCTGGCACACCACAACCGACTGGTGTTATTAGCTATGATATTTTTATTTTTTATTTTTTAGTAATTATTTTTATTGTGCAGGGTTGGTACAAGACAGCATTTCAGAATGTTGAGTAACATCAATCATAATAAACAAATTGTGAAGAAGCATGACAGAGCTCAGACTGCGCATTTTTTTTTTAAAGTTGTCAAGCTAGAGAATGCAGTGCTAGTGCTGAATTCAACAGGGTATAAAGTAAGGTAACAGCACTTACATAGACTAAGATTGAGGGCATAATGCCCGTGAGTAGTTGCATGCAATGCTGACAGTAGATTTTTGTTTTAGTGTATTTCACAGGCTAGGTAACATGCTAAGAATATGTGTCTCGATTGACAATATAGCTCATTCTTACAGAAGGATAAACTGTATAGACTAAGGTAAGTAAAATTAACTATTATAAAGCATCATAGTAAAAAAAGGCTTGAGATCCGCCGGGGCAACCAGCATCATAGTGAAGGGTAGCAAAGGGTTCTGCGTTGGGAGAGCAGTCCGCCATAAGTGACTGTCAGCCGAAGCCCTGGCAAGGCAGACGTCTGCCGTCTAAGCACAGTACATGCTGTTGAGTAGTATTGGGAGACCAAGATGGGGCTCCCACCCAGGCCCCAGGTCTGTTGTAGAGCCAGCGCTCCTGCGCCATAAAGTCGGTTACTCTGTGAGCCCAAGTGCTCCCTTATTGGGAATTTGCAGAAGTCCACTTCAGGTTTGAGCAGTCGTTGTCGGATTCGGCTTGAGCGCTTCTGCTTGTATGGCTGGAGAAGTGGGGTTGGTCCCCGTTTGACTCTAGGCTCGGGTACGCTTGTGGGTAGCTTGTCTAGTGACAGTGTGACACCAGAATCGCGTCCAAGGCGCCCCCCAGGCCTCCCTCCTTGAGGTCTCATTTCCCTTGTTGGCAGAGTGATTTCAGTTGGTGCTTGGGTCATCCGTTCCTCCAGGGCCTCCCAGAAGTGACTAAAGGCTGCATCAATGCGATTCATGCGGGTGGGATAGGGAATCATGAGGTCAGCTTGGTGTATTAACTATGGTATTTTATACGAATTATATGTTAGCTAAACTAATAAGGAATTATTGGCAAGACCACAAATTTAAAGCTGGGCCTGTAGTTGTGGGAGGGGCTTGGTTCCCTGTTATTGGTCTGGCGAGTTGCCCTACCCACCACTCCCTCTTTTCATATCACCCTCTAAGGTGTGCCCTCTTTATTACAGGCCTACTGCATTGTCGGTTCCGGCACACCACCATTAACTATGATATTTTATACGAATTATATGTTATCTAAACTATTATGGCATTATTGCCCTGACCATAAATATATATATTATATAAGGCCATGATAGAGTCAGTCATGTTTGATCCAAACTTAAAGGCTTCAAGTGTCTCTTCTAAGAAAAGCCTGTATCAAAGGCCTTATCTGTATCTAGAGATAGTAATAGCATTGGTGTCAAGGCTTTTAACTTAATTAAATCAATAATTTTCCTAATTTGTCTGATGGCAATTTTATCTGCTTAAGCCGATCTGCTGAGTAGATTTCAGTATCAACATTGATCAAAGAGATTGGTCTAAAATTTTCGATCCTAGTCTATTTTTTTTTTTTTTATTGTCTACCTTGCTTCAAAAAAATTGGGAGAATCAGCCTGTAGGATCTCCTTTGGAAAAGATTTAATAACACAAATTTCAATAAATAAGAAAAGGGCATTTAAATCAGACAAATAAGAGGCATCCTTTATAACAGCGGTTCCCAAAGTGTGGGTCGTGACCCACTGGTGGGTCGCAGGGCGATTTCCAGTGGGTCGCGCTAACCCTCACCTCCAGGGCCGCTGGAGACTTGGGAGTTAGACTGACCAGGAGGGAGCCTGGCGGCTTGCCCTGTATGCCGCCGGGCTCCCTCCAATCAGTCTGCCTAGCACCTCCGGTCTGCAGCTCTGCCAGGTGCAGAGCTGCAGACCGTGTGATAGAGGTCTCGCGAGCTAACAGAGCGTTACCATGGCAACACTCTGGGAGCTGTGAGACTTTTATTACACGGTCTGCAGCTCTGCACCCGGCGGAGCTGCAGACCAGAGAGTTACCCCACTGGACCACCACTGAATTTATGAAAGATAGGACACAGCCCCCAGACATCCCCCCATGTAACCCCTTCACTCCCTGCCCTACCCCCATGTAACCCCTTCACTCCCTGCCCCCTCCCCACACTGTAACCCCTTCACTCCCTGCCCCCACACACTGTAACCCCTTCACTCCCTGCCCTCCAGCTGTAACCCGCTCTCTCTGCCTGCACCTGCCCCACGCTGTAACCCCTTCACTCCCTGCCTCCTGTAACCCCTTCACTCTCTGCCCTCCCACGCTGTAACCCCTTCTCTTCCTGCCCTCCCCGTATCCTTTTCTCCCCCTGCTCCCCCACTGTAACCCTTTCTCCCCCTGTAACCCTTTCTCCCCCTGCCCCCACACTGTTACCAGCACACACGCTCACTCTCACCTCTCCCACACACTGTCACCCTCACCTTCTGTCTCTGTGTGTATGTGTATCTGTGTGTGCTTTTGTATCAGTGTGTGTGTATTTGTGTGCCTGTTTGTATTGTGTGTCAGTGTGTATCTGTGTATCTGTATTTGGGAAACTAGGTGTCATTGTGTGTCTGTGTATCACCGTGTCAGTGTGTGTATTTGTGTGTCTGTGTGTGTGTGTATACACTGCACACATACTCCATACAAAAAACATGCTTACATTCAAACACACGTTGTGTATATGTATATTTTATAAACACAATATACACACACTGCATCCACTACACACACACTGCATCCACTACACACGCACTGCAATCAAAAGCAAACATTACATACAAACACACCCCTGCATTAAAAACACTAAAATGATCTACAAACACCCCTTCATTCAAACACCAACACTACACACAAAAAGCACACCTGCATTTAAAGTCCTACACTACATACAAATACCCATGCATTCAGACGCAAACATTACAAACAATTACACCACTACATTCCAATGGCAACAGTACATACAAATACACCAATACATGCACACATTTACTTAAAGGACCACTATAGTGCCAGGAAAACACACTCGTTTTCCTGGCACTATAGTGTCCTGAGGGTGCTCCCACCCTCAAGGACCCCCTCCCGCCCGGCTCTGGAAGGGGGAAAGGGGTAAAAACTTACCTTTTTCCAGCGCTGGGTGGGGAGCTCTCCTCCTCCGATCCTCCTCCGTTCCTCCCCGTCGGCTGAATTCGCACGCGCGGCAAGAGCTGTGCGTGCATTCAGCCGGTCGCATGGGAAAGCATTATCAATGCTTTCCTATGGACGCTTGCGTGCTCTCACTGATTTTCACAGTGAGAATCACATAAGCGCCTCTAGCGGCTGTCAACGAGACAGCCACTAGAGGCTTTGGGGGAAGGATTAACCCATTTATAAACATAGCAGTTTCTCTGAAACTGCTATGTTTATAAAAGAATGGGTTAACCCTAGCTGGACCTGGCACCCAGACCACTTCATTAAGCTGAAGTGGTCTGGGTGCCTAGAGTGGTACTTTAATACAAAAACATGCTTATATTCAAACGCTCAAACACTGCTCACAAATATAACCCTGCAATGATGCGCAAATGGTAGATCCCTTATCTTGCATAGCATTGTTGAAGTTCTCCGACAGATGGAGATCTACCTTTTGGCCACACTTGCACTAAAGGGGGGCCCAGAAAACATACTTGCACCACTGGGACATTAGTTCCACCACTGGGTGTAATGACATGAAGGGGTGCTGCCCTGGAGCAGCACTGTCCCTTTAAATGTGGGAACCACTATAGCAAAGAAATAAGTGCCAAGACACAAATGAAATAGGTTAAATCAAGAAATATATATTTACAGGGAACCAAAGCAGAAAGTAAAACAAAATATATACATACACAGACAAGGCCACAAAATAAATACACTGTAAATCAAAATAAGCACGAATCGTGCAGGCAACAAATACTGTAATAGTCCTTAGGTATTAGGGTAGGATTTGCAGCTACCACGGGTATCAGGTAGGGCACAGATCCAAAGTCACAAGACTAATGTGGTGACAAAAAGAACGAATAAATCAGCAAGGCTGCAGGGACAGGATCGCTGGTAGTAAATCAGAGACCACGGAGCAAGAGCACTGGATCAGAGGACACAGGATGAAGACCAGGAGAACACAGGACGCAGGATGCAGGATGCAGGATGCAGGAGCCAGGAGCCAGGGAAACAGGAAACAAAAGGTAATGATCTGGCAAGGAGTGAGGGGAGAAACCAAACTAAATAGGTGCTAAACAAGGACCAGGTGAAGTGCTTAATGAAAAGAAATCAGGAACAGTGCCAAACAGAAACAGTGGTGAGTGTGAGTACTGCACGAGGGCAAATCAACTAAGCAGTGTCGTGACACTGGGACAATTAACGTGAGGTGCCTGAATGAAAGAGCAGGACAACAGCACTTCTGATTCTGAGTCTGTGAGTAAGCAGTTGTATGTCTCTTAAACTGGTTGCCATGATGCGCAAGGTTTCAGCCTCTAAAACTGCCATAATATCTCACAATTATGCCTCTAAAACTGCCATGTTATGCCAATTTTATGCATCTAAAGCTGATTGCCAAGGTGAGCCAATTATATGCATCTAAAAGCTGATTGCCGTGGTGTGCCAATTTTATGCTTTTAAAACTGTTTGCCATGGTGTGCCAATTGTATGCCTCTGAAGCTGATTGCCATGGTGTGCCATCTAAAAGTGATTGCCATGATATGCCAAGTTTATGCATCTAAAGCTGATTGCCATGGTGTGCCAAATGTATGTATTTAAAGCTGCCACGATGTTCCAATTTTATGCCTCTAAAACTGATTGCCATGATGTTCCGATTTTATGCCTCTAAAGCTGGTTGCCATGGTGTGCCAAGTGTAAACCTCTAAAACAGATTGCAATGGTGTTCCAATTCTATGCCTCTAAAGCTTGTTGACATGGTGTGCCAATTGTAAGTATCTAAAACTGATTTCCATGGTGTGCCAATTTTATGCACCTAAAGTTGCCATGATGTGCCAATTTTATACATCTAAAACGGATTGCCATGATGTACCAATTGTATGCATCTAAAGCTGATTGCCACGGTATGCCAATTGTATGCATCTAAAGTGGATTGCCATGGTGTGCCAATTTTATGCCTCTAATACTGATTGCACGGTGTGCCAATTGTATGCATCTAAAGCAGATTTCCATGGTGTGCCAATTTTATGCCTCTAAAACTGATTGCCAGGTGTGCCAATTTTTTGCCTTTTAAAAGTCATGGTCATGGTGTGCCAATTGTGTGCATCTAAAGTGGATTGCTATGGTGTGCCAATTGTATGCCTCTAAAGCTGATTGCCATGGTGTTCATGGTGTTTTAAAATATGCATTAAAAGCAAGTGGGTCTCGAAAAATTACTGTTTTTAAAAGTGGGTCTCGGCCCATAAAAGTTTGGGAAGCCCTGCTTTATAAGATATAAGGAAGCCAATAATGCTTGCAAAAAGGTAATTAAATTGGCTAAACTAGAAAATGAGAAATTTATAGCCAAAGAATTCAAAACCAACCCCAAATTTTTTTTCAGGTACATCAATTCTAAAAAAACAAAAAATGAAAGTGTAGGTACACTGGAAACAAAGATGGGTCTGCTAATAAAGACCAGGAAAAGGCAGAAATTTTAAATAACTTTTTCTTCAGTATATATTAATGAGGATCATATGGCAAATGCAAATGCAAATGATTACTGCAAAAAACTTGCAGATAACTTGTGACTAGATAACTCGAGACAAGGTGCTACAGCTGTTAAAGAAAATTAATGTAAATAAAGCTCCGGGGTCTGACGGTATTCACCCATGAGTACTTAAGGAGCTAAGTGGGGAAATAAGTGAACTTCTGTTTTTAATTTTTCAAGATTCTTTTGTTTCAGGTATTGTACTGGAGGATTGGAGGAAGGCATATGTTT